CACATCCTCAGTTCTGGGTTACATTAGTACATGTACTGACACAGTCTCCACTATCAGAAATGTTAAAAGCTACCCAAACAGAAAACCTTGGCTGAATGCAGAGGTGCGTACCCTGCTGGAAGCCAGGAACACTGCCTTCAGGTCTGGAAACTCAGAGGAGCTGAGTAGGACAAGAAAAGAGCTGGTTGCTGGTATTAAGAAGGCCAAGGGCACATATGCAAAGAGGATCGAGGGTCAATTCATTTCACAAGAACCTCGGAGCATGTGGAGGGGCATTAAGTGCATAACAGATTATAAAGGAAGCAGCGAACAATGCCCCAAAGACCCATCTCTGCCTGATGCCCTCAACAAGTTCTATGCACGCTTTGAAGACCCGAACAGACCACCCAGCACCAGACTCACCTCACCACCGGATGAAGAGCATCTCAGCATGACCTCAGCAGAAGTAAGGAGTACTTTCAGGAGGATTAATCAGCACAAAGCAACTGGCCCAGATAACATCCCTGGAAAAGTGTTGAAGGACTGTGCTGATCAGCTCTGCGAGGTGCTGGCAGACATCTTTAACACCTCACTTACCCTGGAGACAGTTCCCACCTGCCTGAAGACTGCCACCATCATCCCAGTCCCAAAAAGCTCTACAGTGACTGGTTTGAATGACTATCGGCCAGTGGCCCTCACCCCGATAGTCGCTAAATGCTTTGAAAAACTGGTCATGACTCGCATCAAAACAACCATCAACATCAACGAGGACCCTCATCAGTATGCATACCGTGAGAACCGATCTACAGAGGGTGCCATCTCCTCTGTGGTCCACACTGCGCTCAACCACCTGGAGCAGAAAAACTCTTACGTCCGTATGCTCTTTGTGGACTTCACATCCGCCTTCAACACCATGATCCCCCAAACCCTGATGGACAAACTCTCCACACTAGGACTAAGCCCCTCCATTTGCAACTGGGTACTAGACTTCTAAACAAACAGACAGCAGTTAGTGAGGATCCACAACATCTCCTCCTCCACCATAACCCTCAGCACTGGCTCTCCTCAGGGATGTGTGTTGAGCCCCCTCCTGTTTACTCTGCTCATGTATGATTGTGCAGCTACCCATCCAGGCTGTCACATTGTAAAGTTTGCAGATGATACAGCGGTGGTGGGATGCATCACAAACAATGATGAGTCCAGCTACAGGCAGGAGGTGGAACACTTGGAGAGCTGGTGCAAAGAGAATAACCTTCACATCAATGTGAAGAAGACAAAGGAGATGATTGTGGACTTCAGAAGGAACAAAAACATCTACACCCCCCTGAACATAAGAGGATCTGCAGTGGAAGTGGTCTCCAGCTACAAGTACTTGGGTGTACACCTGAACAACAACCTCAGCTGGAGCAACAACACCACCAGCCTGATCAAGAAAGATCATCAGAGACTCTACTTCCTCAGGCGGCTGAGATGAGCTGGTCTGGGAAGCTCAGTCCTCACCTCCTTCTACAGGTGTGCAGTGGAGAGCATCCTGTGCTCGAGCATCAACGTGTGGCATGGAGGCTGCACAGCTGCAGAAAGAAAAGCTTTGCAGAGAGTGGTGAAGGCTGCACAGAAATCTGTCGGAATCAGCCTCCCCACCATCACAGACATCTACACCTCCATATGCAGGAAGAGGGCCACCTGCATCATGAAGGACCACACTCACCCAGCACACACACTTTTTGCCCCACTCCCCTCAGGAAGGAGGTTAAGGAGCGTTAAGTGTAGAACCACCAGACTGAGGAACAGCTTCTACCCTGAGGCTGTTAGACCCATGAATCTATAACCAGAATAATCACTGTGAAAAACCATATCATGTTGCTGCTGATCTGTTTCATGTTGCTGCTGATCTGTTTCAATGTTGATGTGTTCATGCGTGCACATCTGCTCACAGACTCATGTTCATGTTTGTGCTGATGTTCAATGTTTTATGTTATGAGTGCTTAGTGTATATTTAGTTGATGTTTTTCTTAGTTCACATCTTAGATGTTATTACTGTTTTTCTTATACATTTTTTTGTAGGATGTAACTGGGACCCTGTGGACATAATTTCACTCCACCACATGTACCACATGAGGTGCGAATGACAATAAAGAAACTCTGACTCTGACTCTGAAGCTTTCCGGCCGCTGCTTCAATGGACACATGCGGCCGTTTAAAAGAGGGACAGAGCTTTTCATTCAGCTACAGAAAAGTCCTAGATGGAAGACTGCCAGCGACCCACCTGTGGCTTAACTGGACCCAGCGGCTGCATCAGCAAACATGCGTGGCCGACGACCATTGATAATGAAAATAACTATAATATTTTAATAAGGTGCTCCACCACCGCACACCCCACTGCCCTCAGTTCCATTCCACTCAATCCACGGTGGTGGATCAAATACAATGTCTGGTCAAAAAAAAAAGTCACCACCTGGATTTAACTAACCAAATAGGTATGAGCCTTGTATTGGATAATTACTGCATGGGCGATTATCTTTCAGCTGGCAACAAGTTATTTAATCCCAACTGGTGCAATGAGTTGCTTCTCTTTTCTTAAACAACCATGTCAAAAGACACATCACATGGCCATGGAAAAGATGTCAGTCTGTTTGAGAAGGGTCAAATTATTGGCATGCATCAAGCAGAGAAAAGGAGATTGCAGAAACTACTAAAACTGGGTTAAGAACTGTCCAACACATTATTAAAAACTGGAAGGATAGTGGGGACCCATCATTTTCGAGGCGGAAATATGCCCAGAAGAAATCCTGAATGATCGTGATCGGCGATCACTTCAACTTTTGGGGAAATCAAATAGAAGAAAAACATCAGCAGCACTCAGGACTGTGCTTAATAATGAAAGTAAGAACATTTCCACACACACAATGTGAAGAAACTCAAGGGATTGGGACTGAACATCTGTGTAGCCTTAAGAAAACCACTAACCAGTGAGCCTAACTGGAAAAAAAGGCTTCAATTTGCTATGGAGCATAAAGATTGGACTTTGGAGCAATGGAAGAAGGTCATGTGGTCTGATGAGTCCAGATGTACCCTGTTCAGAGTGATGGGTGCATCAGGGACAGAAACATCAATTCACAAGTTCTGCCTGACCCAAACTGTGGCCTTGATGCCGGACTTATCTCAACTCCTCCTGGCATGTTTAGAAACAACAAAGATGCTTTGTCTGTTTCCTCACCCCTCCCTTCCCCAAAGCCGTGGACATGTGACAGAACCTCAACTGAGCTGAAGATGAACGTCACCTCTTATCTGGACAATGGCTGAAAGGGGGGGCTCTGGACTATGCTACGACTTTCCCTTAAAACTTCTCTGTCTTCACCGTCTATATGTTCATGTATAACGTCTGTTTATGTTGCTTTGCTGTGGTAGGTTTGTTTGATGCCTCAAATCGTGCCCTGTCTAGGACACGCGTGAGAGATCTTTTTTTTTTTATACCGTCTCTCCTCATGTTTTCTTCCCTTTTCTCATCTAAGCAAAATATTATTCTGAATAAGAATAAGAGGGCTGTGCTTCCATAGTAGCAGCTTTGTGCACTCCGCCCATCTTTCGGACAACTGTACGTACATGTTCTCGTTGTATCTCGGTGCATTGATAGTAAAGCTTATTCTGATTCTGTAGAAATATTGATATAGAAGATGTAGTCACATCTTTTATAACGTATGAAATTACCTTGATATTTTTAAAATATCGAGTTATAGCCCAGCCCTATTTGGTAGCAATATTAATAGCACATTAGCTGTGGAACCACTAAACTGAGGAACAGCTTCTACCCTGAGACTGTTAGATTCATAAATCCCTAACCAGAAATATCACTGTAATGTCACTTTGATTGGTGATGTGTGACTTATCTGTGCTGCTGATTATCCATGCTGATGATCTCATGATGCTGATTATCTCATCCTGCTGTGTTCATTCATACCCATCTGCTCACACAGACTCATGTTCAGGCCACTGTTTTTGCACTGTGTTCCTTTGCATTATTAGTGTTTAGCATGTATCTTAGATCCTTATATACTGTTTCTTTTTATACCTTATATTTTTTGCTATTTTTGGGAGTAACTGGGACCCTGAGTACATACTCGTGTTCCACCTCATGCATCACGTGATGTGAATGACAATCAACTTGAACTTGAACTTGAATATCTATATCTGCGATCCTGGCCTTTATTTACTTGGTATCGTATCGACACCAAATCTTGCCGCATGGCACACCACGACTTGTTGACCCTTGGGCCATAACGTCTGGCTTGTTTTCATTCATTCACCATTTATTTATTAAGGTTAGTGTCATTGAGTCACAACGACTCATTTACAAGAGAGATCTGTTTTAGACAGACATTATATAAAGTACAGACAACAATAAACAACAAAAAGCAATTAAAATCAAATAGAATAAGTTATAAACAGTCAAATCAAGCAGCTGTATAAAACAAGATAAAATACTACAAAACAAGAACATATTTGCTTAGATATATTCATTGACATTATAAAATGTTTAAAATCCCTTAAAGAGATCAATGAAGACAGCTTCAGATCTTGTTCCAGGTGTTCCAGGAGGGGAGTCAGAGAAGTCTCAGAGAACACGGTGTCAGATCCAGCCTGTCTTTAGTTAGTGAGCTCAATTTAAGAGCCAACAGAACATGAAACTGTGCTGAGCGCTGACCAAAGATCTGTAGACCCTCTTTAAAGTAGTAGCTGAGAGTAATCCAAAACACTACCAGATCCATCAGATTCCACATAAGTTCATGCATCTGTTCAAGGTTTGAGCAAAACACCTTCAACTCAATAATTTGTGAGAAGCTCTCAGTCTGAACCTCCTGCAGGTGACACGTGTGCCTTCATTTCATCACTGATGTGTAACGGCCTTATTCTGGCTGGGTTTGATGCCGTGATTCATGTGATCGAGGTTCAGCTGTGTTTGAAATGTGTTTCGGAGCTGAGGTTGAGCTGACCTGTTCTCCCTCTGTTCCTCATTCTTGCAGAGGTTTGTCGGGAATGTCAACTCAGAGTCCGTCGTCCAGAACAAGCTGTTCCACCCGCTGAAGACTCGTTTCCTACGCTTCGTCCCTCTGGACTGGAACCCCAGCGGTTACATCGGCCTGAGGGTGGAGGTGTTCGGATGCTCCTACAGTGAGTACCCCCCCCCCCCCCAACCCTAACCCCCACCCCAAGGTCTGAAAGCACTCAGCCTTCTGGAGCTCCACCTCCCTGTGGAGTCCTCCATTTATTCACCTGCACCGCTGCTACGCTCCTGATGGAGAGTAATGAGGACGATTTCCTCTTCACTTGCTTTTAACGCACTGTTTGAATCTGCAGGCGGTGGGAAAATGGAAATAAAAATCAGAAGCTCACAGCTAAGGTGTGAATCACATGCACAATCACAGCCCCAATTCTGCCCACCCCCCAGCGTCCTCAGAATATCATTAAAACATCGCAGGAAGACCTGCTTTCAGAAAGTTTTTACTGTAAAATGAAAGAAACACTTTAAACAAACAGCACATCTCACAGAATTATTTACCAGAACTTCGTTTTTGTTTACAGTCTGTGAAGTTGTTTTGGTTTGTTTATTTGTTTATTAGATGACGAGATGGAAATAAACAGGACAATTATTAAAATATTTTTTTACTTTTTAAGAAACACTTTTAAACCAAAAGCTTTCAATTTATTCAACTTAAACATTTTTTCAGGCAGGTCATCTGGACAGTTTCTTTTTTTGTGCTGAAACGTTTCGCCTTCAATCCGGAAGGCTTCATCAGTCCATATGTTCATCGGTCAGTTTTGTTGTGTTTCCTTGACTGACGAAGCCTTACGGATTGAAGGCGAAACGTTTCAGCACAAAAAAAGAAACTGTCCAGATGACCTGCCTGAAAAAATGTTGGATTGTATACCTAGATTATTGAGCATGGACTTTGTTGTTTTTATTCAACTTACTTTTTACTGTTTTTATTTTATTTTTTCAGAATTTCTTCACATTTATTTATATAAAGTACATTTTATATTCTTTTAATGAATATTATTATTTCATTTTTGTTTATTCTAAATACAATAATCATTTCCCTGATGATGATGGGGGTTCTGTTCAGCATCTCAGCTGTGCCTAGCACTGAGCTCTTCTGGACATAGATCTCTGAGGATTTTTTTCTGGGATCTGTTGGAGCCACTCTTCCAGTTCTGGGGTCACAGCCCCAAATGATCCAACAGGGACTACTGACGCATTGACTCTCCACAACAACTTCAAAATCACCTCTGCCTTCTTCTCTTTCTTGTCGACCACCACACTGTCTGGTTTGTTAGCCATCCCCTGTTTGTCTGTCTGGATCTGGAAGTCCCACAGTATCTTAGCTCGTCCATTCTCCTCCACCCTTGGTGGTGTCTCCCACTGTGGCTGTGGGACCTCCAGTCCATGCTCAGCACAGATGTTCTTATATATTACTCCAGATGTTCCTGTATATTATTCCATATGTTCCAGGACATTATTACAGATGTTCCTATATATTCCTGTTTTTGTTTAATTTTTTAAAATACCATTTTCTTTCATTTGTTCTTCTCATTTTGTATGCTTTCTTTTATGCTTGTCTACTGTTGTCATTACTCTGCTTTCAAAATGAGGATACAAGAGGTTTAACATGAGAGACATGGAAGGTGGGGGGTACTTTTAAGGAGCGAGGTAAATGAAGGTAGACAGAGTCATAGTCAGAGTTTCTTTATTGTCATTCGCACCTCATGTGGTACATGTGGTGGAGCGAAATTATGTCCACAGGGTCCCAGTTACATCCAACAATAAAATGTAAAAGAAAAACAGTAATAACATCTAAGATATGAACTAAGAAAAACATCAACTAAATATACACTAAGCACTCATAACATAAAAACGTCGAACATCAGCACAAACATGAACATGAGTCTGCGTGAGCAGATGTGCACGCATGAACACATCAACATTGAAACAGATCAGCAGCAACATGAAACAGATCAGCAGCAACATGAAACAGATCAGCAGCAACATGATGTGATTTTTCACAGTAATTATTCTAGTTAGATGTAGATGAACATATGCTGTCATATATTCATAGATAAAACGGATTCTTTCATTTTTCTGGACTGTATAATGACGTGCATCTGAATTTAATAAAATGTGGACGTGAGACGTTAATTATCTTTGACTCACCAACGACAGTGGGTCATTTATTAACAGAATCAAAGTTTAACACATCACACATTTACATTAATTGGCAAAATATGGAAAATAACAACATGGCTAATTTTAGCAAACTGTACAATTTTGATTGACCACACGGCGGTGGATGAGAACTTTACACAGACATTTCTAAAATATCTGGAATGATTTCTACCTGATAGAAGAATTTTAAAGATGGAAAGATGAAGTTTAGAGGGAGAAAAAGATGGGTGAGGGGGTTTGTTTGTGTCAGCATTCAGAACGGCACTCTCCGGGTTTTTCTCAGCTTCTTCCCCCAGTACACTTAGGTGGTATAAATCAACTCTTTACCTGGAGATGTCTCCACTGGTACGAAAGTCCATTCAACGCACCCTTTCAGCGTCTCCGTAGGAACAGCTGTGAATCGTCCTAAGTAGTGACGGTACTTATTCGACACAAGTTCACCTCACGAGTGGACTTCACATGAGTGGAGTCCGTCAGAGTTCCACCCAGAGGTGGAAGATGTTATAATCCCATAAGACTCGGAAGAGCTCTGTGGTCATGTCAGGATTTTCCTGTTTCCCAGCACGGGAGCTGCAACGACTGAAGCCGGAGCCTGAAGCGACTGGACTTCTGCAAACTCTCCACCCGACACTCTCCATCCGACTCGTTTGAACTAGGAAGTACCGACATTTTAAAGAGCTCTATTTCCG